GGAAAGAGAGATCACGAACAAAGACAAGGAAAAAGTGTCCTTTGGGTCCTCGCTTTTTTTAGCTCTGCATAAAAATGACGTCGATTGAGTCATAACGCAAACGCGGCTTTCGAAGCTTGCAGAAGAAGGGGAGATTCGCGTTCTTCCGCCATGGCCGCCACTTCGAAGCTTCTGCTTCTCCGGCTATTCCCAAGGCTTCTCAGGCTTTCTCTTCTTCTTCCTCTGCTCATTATCTTTAGGGAACCTCCTCGATTTCTTCTGGACTCCATTGAACCGCCGGATTTCTTCTGATAGTAGAAGATTCTGCTCTGAAAGCCCTGCTTCTATCGATTATCGGTAACTAGGTTTCTCCTATTGCTCTCGATTCTTGTGTTTAATTGTTCATTGCACGAAAGACGTAAACTTTTGCAGGAGGTATTTTGGGTCTTAACCTTGTCGATTTCTTCGTGAATAAGCTGCATAGTATCATGGATTCGTAGCAAGTTTCCTCAACTTAGCAACGTTATTTCATATTCGTACATTGGTGACAGGAATAGGGCGACAACGTTCAGATTGATGGCTTTGATGTAGAAGATTACAGGTTAAATTGTTCTTCAGCATTTACACTTTTTGGTTTCTCTTTAGAAACCCTTGCCGTTTACCATCTCTCGTTTGTCGTATTTCTGATGAGTTTTTATGTTTTGGTTTGCATGAATGGACTGAAGTAATCCCACTTAAAAGGCCCAAACCCATGCTTCTGATGAATATCGCTCCCCGCCCTCGAAACCGAGCTGATGAAATCAAACAAGTGACGAGTGATGATGATGATGATGTCCAGTGGAAAACTGATACCTCCCAGGCAGCCGTTGAGCAAAGAATGAAAGAACAACTTAGCGCCGTTACTGCTGAAATGGTGATGCCGATGACGTGTAAACTTGTTCCATGATTTCTGGGTTAAAATCTTTTTTTTAGGATTTATTTTTTTAAAGTTTTGAATTGGACTTGCTTGTTAATAACGTCTCTAATCTTATGGACTATAAAAAGAACTGAAATAATATGTAAAAATGATTGAATAGACAAATATTTAAAATAGTCTAAAAACAAATAGATGTGACATTTTTAGAAATTTTAGAGTAGGTTACCTTCTTGATAAGTTTCTAGTTGGGTGTACCAAGAAACACAAAAAAATCAATCCTGATCATATTATGTATTTCCAATCATTTTCGGTTTTGGAGAGATTGCATGCAACAGAGCATTTCGGTCATAACTTTACGTTCCAATGTTCAAACGACGTGATTCCAATTGGAAATGAACCCTAACATACCGAGTGTTTATTCTAAAGAAGTTGAGATCCAACGAAGAAATCTTCAATCCTGGAGAGAGGACGCAATCCACGGTTTAGTCCTGGGAATACAGATTGAACAAGATGCCTTGTTTCTTAAATAACTTTTGATTGGAGACTCCGATCACAGTTCCGTTTGAAGTAACATAAACTAGACATCCAGAGCTTCACGTACTAATTTTTGGTGAACGTTTGGTCCCTCAATCAATCGTTTGAAGATCACGTCCCTTCTAGTTCTAAATATGATGAATTCGGTCCAAGAATGACATAATTCTTGTTGGGCCAATTTCTCAACAAAACCAATAGCCCATAACAAGATTGGAGCAAACACAAGTCAAGATTTAAAGAGAAGAATCTGATTAGTTGGTCAAAGTCATGGTCAAATAGTCTTTCAAGCTTTGCATTTATTGTTTTGGGATTTGTTTTTTACCACATAAATTTTTGTAGTTTCTTTATTTCTTTTTATCTTTTTGTAGCCTATAAATAGGCAAAGAAATCATATTATAAAAAATATATGAGTTTTATTTGAATATCACTTTTTAGTGAGTTTGAGCTTTTATACTCATGGTTCTTTTTGGAATCTTTGAACTTATCGAATGGAGTGATTCTGTTCGTGGCGTTCAATCCGGCTTATCAAACAGACAGCCATAACCGTTTGTGGCGCATTCTTTATACCAAAGTTGTTAATTACGGCGTTAGGTCTAGGTCGCGACAGTCTTTTAGATTTGTGCCAAGGTTGATGATTCCTATACGTTGGTTAGAGGTTGCGGTCTCCACCCACCTAATTAGAGAATTTCATCCTCGCATTGATCGGACATCAAATCTTAAAAAGCTCAAAGAAAAAGTAGCTTTTTTTAAACGCAAAATCATAAAAAAATTAAATCTCTTTCACGGCAAGATAAAACAGCGCGATACAAAAAAAAAACTTACTATGGTATTTTTTTAAAAAAAATTTAGATTAAATAATATGCATTTGAGTTATTTTGTGCTATAGAATTTTTTATAACCATTTTTTACTATTCCTTTCACGTTCATTGATGAAAGATAAAATTGGACCAATGGGAATTTCATTTTCTTTCACCAAACAAAAAGAAATAACAAGAGAGAATCTTGTCATACATATGTTGCTCACACCAAAATTCCAGATGAGAAAGCCTAAAATTAATTAAGCAAAACATTATGAAAATCAAATTCAATAATTTGTTAATTCGATCATATGATTATGTGATTCTCTCTACAAAAATCTGTCCAATCAGATTCTCACCTCTGGCTACAAAAATCTAGAAGCTTCTCTCTTCCTTCGACGATCTCATCAAAGAAATCATCAATCTGTCCAATCAGATTCTCAGCTCCAGAGCTCACCACCCTCAACCAACCTTTCACTCCCTCCACTCTCTCCCTCCACCACTTCTCCGCCGCCGCTTCTCCGCCGGAGCTCCGCCGCTCCGCCTCCGCTTCCGCCCTCAGCTCCTCCACCGCCGCCTGGCTCCTCCTGTACTCGTACATCAGTATCCCCGCACTCGCCTCGCCCCTCCCCATCTCCGCCGTCATCCTCTGCTGCAGCCGATCCATCGCCGCCGTGAGTCCCGACCCGACCGCCGGAAACCGGGTCTGAACCGCCGCGGGATCCGATGAACAGCTGTAGACGACGCCATATACGAGGATGGTGAGGAGGAGCGAGCTCACGCCCCGCAGCGCGTGTAGGACACCGCGGAATCCATTGAAGCCGTTCTGAAGCTTGGAAGAGTCCATAACCGTAGTAGCTTCGTCGGGCCAAAACGGCAGCGTTTGGAGATGGTTCTCTAGCAATGATCTGTTTTCTTCTTCAAGACCCATCGCCTCTCTCTTACACCCTGATATCGCTCTCAACATCTCCTGTATAAATCACCAGAGACAAAAAAAAAAAATCATTTTCTTTGTCAATCAATAAAAATTAACAAAAAAAACTGGGTATTGCTTCTCTGAAGCAATTCAACAGAAATTCGGTGTCGTCTCTGCGATTTTATACCGAAAGTTTCATGCTTTTATGGTTAGAAAATTAGAACAGCCAAAAGGGTATATTTGCTTTAGAGATCAAGAAAATTTTCTCTTTCTGGGCAGCATAAAAGATGACAATGGAGGATTCGCTGGTCATTTGATCTCCACTGGGTTTCTGCTGTTGTTTGGAAAGCGTGCGGACCTGTCGGCGGTCGAGGAGGCCGAGTGCGGCGGTGGAGAAGCCCTCGACGGCGGAGACGCCGGACTTGATGACGTGGCAGGCGTCCCAGAGCCTGGAGCTCTCGTCCATGTACTCGTCGAGCCATTTCCCGCCGGCGGGAAGGTGGAGCTTGAGGGCGAGGCGCGTGAGCTGCGCGTGGAACGATCGCAGGAGAGACAGCGAGCTCTGCAGGAACTGTACGGACATGAAGCTGTTCGACGTATACACCCTCTCGAGATCCTCTAGTCCTCTCGCCATGAACGAGTAGAATCCATTCGCTGAGTTTGCAGAAGGAAAATCCATGAAGATTCCAGAGAAGAAAATAAATCAACTCTTTCAAGTAGGAGAAGAGTGGGATGGGGAGTGAAGAGAGAGGTTTTTATACTGACAGTGACACTATAAAAAAAACGAATTGTCTTTTAAAATTTTAATAAAGGTTTTTGCAAAAAAAATATTAATTTGTGAAACTGCAAAAAAAAAAATATTATTAGTAAAAAAAAGGGCTCGAATTTCAAAGGGTGAAAAAGACAGTTTGAGAAGAATGATGGGGGTTTCCTCATAAGGGGAAACAAGGTATGATTTCATATTATCAAAAAAACTATATATAAAAATTCTGCAACAATAGGTTATATAATATTCAAATTAATAATGTATGTAGATTAAAATTCGTTATTATATTAAAAAAATGTGTCCATTAGTAATAGCCAGGCCTATAGTTATCAACTAAGATTGATTATGTATTATTATATAAAAAAATAAAGTTAATATCTAGACGATATAAAGTTTTGATCTTTGTAAAGTTCGAAACTTTTTATATAGTTGGAAAATAAGGTGTTTGATACTGGAAATTTATTCGAATCAGGAATTTTGATGATATTTTTTTTATACCAAAATCTAAATTAATTTTGGGATCAAGAATTAGCCAAATGATTTAGAGTATATGTTTTCTCTCAAATTTGAGTTTCGAATTCAAAAATTTTGATGATATTAAATTGTGATTACGAGAAGATTGAGATTTGAAGGAGAGAGTTGAACGTAAGAAGACTTGTCTATTTCCTTCTAAAATTCAACCGATACTCTATGAAATTCACTTAGTGTTCACACGAACAATATGTTGAAAAATATAAAGATTATTTTTGAATTGATGAAATATTAATTGTTTAAAATTTATATATATATATATATATATATATATAATCGTACAAAAGAATAAAGATTCAAGAATATTATGATTAAAAAATATAGAAACAACCAAACCTAGTTAAATTTTAGTGTCCGTTGCCCGTGATTACAATTATTATAGTATTTTATAGGTGGAAGAAATACTAATTGGAGCCATTGATATTATAAAGGATAATAAAATGAATAAAAAAAGTAAATATATATGATTTATAGAAATTATGTGATTGGGCAATGGACTGACAGTAACCTAAGAAGAAGAGGTGAAGTTTGACAAAAAAAACTGAGAAAGTTCATGAGAGTACGAGTTTGTCGGTTAATTCTTTTGTTTTTTTTAAAACTAATTTTAAATTTTCAGAAATTGCCTTTACGAAAACCTAAACAATAAATTGAATGTCTTTATATAATTCAAATAGACTATAAATAAAATATAAATCAGAAAATATATCTGATTTCATATATTGTAGCAAAATAATTTTAAAAAATAAAGATGCTTTTAATGTTCGGGAGAAATCTAAATCTTGGTCTAAAATATCCAGTTATACAAACAAAAATACTTTTAATATTTTATCTCCTTTTCTCCAAACAGAATTAATAAAATAAAATATTCTTTTTTATACGTATAGAAATCAGAAGTTCTATCGGGATAAAAAGAATTTTTTTTAATATATATATATATATAATCTGCTCACTCCACTATTAATATATATTATCTTTGAGTATATTTATATATATCTTTTTTTATATTCTTAATTTTCTCCAAATATTTTTATTTTCTATCATCTATCTCCAATCTCTACCTAACATTAACCAAACCAATGATACCAAAATATTGCGGTGGAGACTATTGTTGAAATAGAAAAATGAATATAGAATTAGAGAAAAATATAGATTTTGAATTTTTTTGAAAATAATAATCAACACAATATTATATTAAATATTCTATATTATATTTATTTTTGTTATATTTATATTTTCTTTTTTACTTTATTTGTTAATTTTTGTACAAATATATGAGTCATTTTTATTGTAATATAAGAATAAAAAGAGTTGTGTCAATAAAAGTAATTCCTTTCCTTTTTATATTTATCTTATTTTATTTCTGTATTTTATTTTTCTACATGATATCAGAGCGGTT